ATCCCGGTGTCACATCCCGGTGTCACATCCCGGTGTCAGGATCACCTGCGACCTCACGTGTTGCTGTTCGCGGGGCTGTGGGGCCCAAACAAGCCTCCGGCCTGGTGCTGGAGGAGACCTGGGGCGAGGCAGGGATCTGTGCCCCTGGAAAATGGGGAAACAGGGACTTTGCAAAGCACCAATTCCAAAAATAACCGGGAGCTGGTCAACAGTTACGGTAACACGGCCCTCCTCTAGCAGCTGATTTCCCTGAGTTTATTGTATGTTGCATTTTTCATGAAAAAAAACTGATTCCTCATCCTCTGGAGTGCCATCGTGTCCCTCTGGTGATGTCACCTCACCAAAATCCCTGTGGGAGAAGCCACAGACACACCTCCAGCCCCGACAAACCCCCCCAGTGTTCTCATCTCCAGCTGGGAATGAAAACAAAAACCTCATCTTTCATTTCCAGATAAAAACTTCAATCCCTTTGAAAGGAAGTTGCCAAATTAGCGCTTGAGTTCCAGTGCCCCAATAAAGTCTGAATACCGCGGGAGTAATTGAAATTAAGGAGAAATGCTACATCAATAGACAAAATTGCGGAGAGCAATGAAATGCTTAAGCGTAATTAGAACAGCAATCAGTGTACAATTAGTGCGAGATCATCATCATAATTATCCTTCGTTAGAACTTCTGGCCAACAACAGCCCCATGAAAGCGTCAGCTGGAGCTGCAGGCACTGCCTGAGGGCCTGGGCTGGACCTGGGGGGCTCCTCGGCCGGGTTTTGCTTATCCAGCAGCACTCCTTGAGTTTTCCAACACCCTCGGCTACCAACTCGGCTCCACCAGACTTAAATTCAGAGTAAAGAGCTGTGTGGAATGCAGGGAGCAGGACTCAGCAGCCCTCAGATTAGCCTGGCTCAGCCTCTGTGTATCGGTATAAATAACAGGCTCAGCAAGATGTGGAAGGCTTGGGCTCAGGTCAGAGCTTTCCTACTCCAGGGATCACCAGGCAATGGATTTGCAGATCTGGGAGCCTTTTAGTATTGAATTCCCATCATAAAGGACGCACTGTTCACTCAGTCCTTTGTTTACTGAAAGCCAAGATGTGTTTTGGGGAGATCTCACACCTTCACAAGAGCCCACAGGTGAAATCTGGCCCTGAGCTTGCCTGAATTTCCAAAGCTGGGCATTTTCCCCCCAGGTCCCGACCTTACAACCACAGCCCCCCACAGCTTGTCCTTTCCTTTACAAATACATGGAGCTCTGGCATCTCAGCCGTGGACGTGACATCTCTGCCCTCTGAGAGAGCCACTTGTAGGGCTACGAATTCCCTGGAGCCTTGGTCCAGCACGAGGTTCTTCCTTAGTCCCAGGGGCAGATAAAATATGAATAAAAAGGTTTTCATGGTTGCCTCATAATTAAAATTGCTTTTTCCCCCTCCAGAAGGCTTCTCATCACTGATTATCTACATCAAAACAAACACTCTCCCCTTTGACACAAAGGGGAGACACAAAAAACTTGCTGTTTATTTTTTTTTTATTATTATTATTTCATTTTCATTTATTATTTCAGAGTATCAGCCATGAAATGTGCTCTGTGGGACTGACACGGGTTTTAATGTGTCGCTGTGTGTCGGGGCTGAAACTGTCAGAGGCTGCACAAGAAAACACTGTCCCACACCACAGTTCTGTTATTTTTCAAAGCCAGGAAAGACTCTGACTTCCTTCAGCCTGTCCCAGCCACGCACCAGGTTTGGTTCTGGGAGACTCAACTGCTTTTGAAAATATTTGTGCTTGCTAAAATAATACCTAAAGTAGTACAAAACCTCCGAGCGCTTCCAGCGCCGTCTAAAATGCTGAACACAGGTTGTATCAACACACTGAAAACCTTATCCCCAAACGGTGATTCCAGGTTTTGGTGGAAAAGGGCTGATCCCTGACCCATCAGGGTTGTTTGTCTCCTGGGCTGTCCCAAACCTGGGAGGTTTTTTTCGCTGTGAGAGGCTGGAGGGTGTTGCCAGGAAAGAACAACTCAACCCCTGCTGTTTATTTAACAAAAATTAAGGAAATAAGGAGCCTTAGCCTGGTTCCTTGGCAGTATTTCCCACTCTGTTCATGTCTCAGTGCTCACTGTGGCCACTGATCCCACAGACAGGCTCATAATTGACTCAAGAATAATCTTATTCCTCCCTTCCCTGATAAGGAACGTGGTCCCTGTCCCTGAAAGCCTACAAAGAGGAGTGTTTTGTTTGTGTTCTCCCTGCAGTACTTCACACTTCTTTTAGATTGTTTTAATTTAATTTTGATGTAATCTGATAAGAGCTGTAAAACTGTCAAAGGAATCTGCCTCCTTCTGTTGCATTAAATACACTTTGAATGAAATGGTGGTTTTTGTCCCCAGTAGCTGCCAAACCAAAGCATCTCTTGATTCAAGCGCAGGGATTGATGTGCACTAATCTTAACAGCTTCACACTCTCTGTTCAATTTAGGGAGGCAGCCACATATCCTTCAGCATCCCGCTCTCCTCCGGGGTGTAGCCGTATCCCGAAAGGTGCGGGATTCACCTCACAGAGCTGAGCACCACAGGGTGCTCACCTGCAGGGGGAAAGAAGGGATGGGAGAGAGAGAAGGAAAGGTCCCTGCCAGAGCTTTTCCTGCCCTGCTTATCTCCTCCAGGCTTTTCCTCCCCAGGTGCCACATCATCCCCCTGTCTCTCCCTCAGCCTCTCATCTACCAGGGGTCCCCGGCGTGGGATTTGCTGATTTTCCTGAGCAGTGCATCTGCACAGTCTGCCCCAGCCTCTGCTCGAGAGCCAGGGAAGGAAGGGGAAGCCCCTTGGACCCAGAAAGTCACGGCACAGCTGAATACATCTGCTTTTCTTTTTCTCAATTAGACCCATAGCACAGGCCTTGGTAGCTTTGTCAAAACATACACAAAATTTACATAATGCCCTCAGAAATCCTTTTTGTTAATGCCTCAAGTCCCAAATGCAGAGCACTAATAACACACCAGTAATCAGAGAACAGTAACAGCAGAGACCAATCTCAGCAGAGCAGTTGAGAGGATCCAACTCTCAGTGGCCATGCCTGGAAACAGTAATTAACGTGTTGAATGCAATGTTTACATTTTGATACGTTTAAATGTAATAAGATGCTTTTATTAAATGTTACAGTCCCTTGAAAGCTGTTATTCCTCCTTTCTGATGCACCAACAGCACACGCAGTGTCCGCTGCAGCGGGTGGGATCTGCTGTGACGGGGCGGGCGACACGAGTTCCTCCAGCGGGAACCTGGAATGCAGAACCCAACGGCTGATTAAACAAAAACCTGGAGACTGCAGCACTTAAAGCTATATAATGTTTATTAAAAATGTCAGGGCCCTAGCCAAAGCCTAGTGACATAATTGAAAAGCCTTCAGGCACGTCATTGTGCATGGATTTTGAATTAATCCTGGAGGATTGAGATACGAGCACATATCATTGTTTACGGCTCCGTGTTGTTCGTGAGCCCCAGGAAAGCCACAGCACAGGAAAGGACCTGGTTTAGAGACCATTTGCCAGGAAGCATCCCTCCTCTTCAGCCATTTCCAAGTGCTTTTCCAGTCTCCTGCGTGGCACAGGAGGCTCCACGAGCAGAAGGGAGCAGGTATTGCCCGACTGAGGCTGTTCCAAGCATCCAGAGAGGATGTCAAGGAGATTTCAGGTCTCTCTGCTTCCTCAGTAATTCAGTCACTCCTGTGTCCAAGCAGATGTGAGGAGTTACCCTGTCCTAGTTTAAGTGTCTGCTGCTGTCTGAAGAGGAAAGAGGAGATTGACTATGTTGCACTTCCCCGTTCCTGGAGAAATGAGAACTAAGTTGAGAACTAAACTGAACTGAGGTGTGAGCCCAGAGGCTGAATTTGAACCAAACCCCTCACAGACAAAGGTCTCAATTCCCATCTTATCTGAAAGCATCTGTGCCTCACACCCCAGAGCACTGTGTGCCACCACTCCTCCAACTTCTGTTCCTCAAGCTGAATCAGTTTTGCTGTATTTCTGTGCAAGAAAGACTATTTTGGCTCATTACAGAATGTCTCTTTCAGGCCTGCAGTAACCAAGCAGAGAGCAGGAGAAATGGCTCACTAATCCAGGGCCAAGCTCAGTGCCACGAGTGCCCGTTGGGGTCCCATGGCAGGAGGGACAGGGTCCCTCTCAGCTGCAGCTTGAGGTGCCACAGCCTGGCACAAGGCAGAGCCTGCCACAGGCACCACGAGTTAACCCCTTCCTTACAGATCTGGGATGGAGAATATCCCTCTGGAGGCTCAAACCATGCCCGAGTGTGCCGCTGCCAGCTCCGTGCCCGAGGGACGCGGCTGCGCCTTCGTGGTGCTGCAGTGAGGGAAAGGGGACACTCTGCACCCACACCTGTTCCTGGCACACAACACCCTACCTCGCCTTGGCCACGCAGTGCCCTGCATTAAGCCACGTTTTTGCCAGGATCCTCTTTTTGAAGGATGGCACCTTCACGGCCACGCTATTCCTGCCACCGGCCGCTCCCCAGCTCCTGCCAGTGAGGCCACGGCCTGGCCAGGCCACTCCATCTTGCTCGGTCTGAACGCTGCTGCTGCTGCTGCTGCTGCTGCTTTAAAGGACACAGATCTATCAGGCTCTTTCATTAGCATTTTAACAAACCAGCGGATTCATCTCCTGCACACTGACTGAAAGACTGAAAAAGTTTTGCTTCTACAAGTCATGAAAAATTAAAGGGAAAATACAAAATAACTGGGGAATTCTTTCAGCTGAACTAGGTAACGTTTCCCTTTCAGCCCTGCAGTTCTGAGCGAGTGGTTCTGAAGAGCTGCTGCCTGCGTTGGCAGGGACGAGGCATTCGGACAAGGTGAAAAGCCTGGAGGATCCCAACGCTGGGCTCAAAGGGATGTCTGGCCTATTGTCTGGCTTGATTAATGAAGCCTTTGCACAGCGAGATAATGTGGTGTTTGCTGTGCCGGGAACGCTGCTGAGCAGCACAAACATCACAACTATGGCTAATATTCAATATGATAACGACAGCAATGAGCCCGTCTATGTAACACTGGATTCTGCTCCAAAATGCCTCAAATGATATTTGTTTATTTCCTAATTGTCAGCCACTTCGATGCACTTGTCAGGTTCAACAAGTGCTTCAGGCTCCAAGGGTTTGAAACAAAGGGAAGCACTTGGGCGAGCCGTGCGGTTGGTGCTGCGTGGGGCCAGGAAACGGGATCCTGCGGCTCGGGACACACTGGCAAACACAGAGTCCCTGGAGAACCCCTCGCCACCTCAAACCAAAATCCTGAAAGCCTCTTCAAGATATCTGTATTTCAGCACAAACCCCTGCAGGTCCACAGTGACTCTGGGAAACGGAAGGGAGCGGCTCAGCCGGAGGGCCGCACGGGGGAGGATGAACGCGGTGCCCTGAGCTCGGCCGTGGGGACCCCGAGCTCCCTGGCACTGAAGGGCTGGGGGAGCTGGCTGCTCTCTGAGCAAGCACTGCCTGCAGAGCCAGCCCAGGGCTCACCCGGGGCAATGCCCACACGCTGCCTCCCCAAATCCTCGAGTTCTGGGAAATCCAGTTGCCGGTGGACGTGGTGTTTTTCTGCTTCCCATCTCAAACCACCGCGCTGGTTTGCTGTGACTTATTTAAGCATTTTCCCCCTGTCCTGTGCAGAGGATTGTTCTGGTGGTGAATGAAAGGATCCACACATAAAAACTGTTCATTTGTTCGAAAAAAGCAGGAGAAAGGCACAAGACTATTACATTAATTAAGCTGTGTCTGCTCAGAGCTCAGCACCCCTGGGGCCCTTTGCTCTGTTCAGTACAAGCCTGGTAAAAAAGCTTGAGTAGAGACGGAAAAACCCTCCAACAGTGCATTTTGACAGTGCTGAAAAATGCATTTCTGATGTACCTGCGAGGCAAGACTTGTATGGGGTGGACACACAGGCGGGCAGAGGTTCAGGTCCCAAATGTTTTGCCCATTTTCAGACACACACACACCATACCAGCCTCTCCCAGTGGCCTGCAGGGTGCTCTGTGCCCTGTTCCTATCACGATCTGACCCTGCGGGGGGGCATCTGACCTCGAGCATTCTCCTCCTGCCGCCCCCCCGGAGTCCCCCCTTCGTTCAGCACAGTAACTCCCGCTGTTACCTGGCCAGGGCAAGTTCCAGCGCCCGGAGAGCACAGAGGCTGCACCAGCCGGGACTCTCCCGACACACCAGCCCTGAGTCTCGCTCCGTCAATACTCGCATTATTTCTTTTGCAGGAGCACATTTATTCTCTGTGCCCGAAGAGCGGGGGACGCGCTGCCC